CTCTTCTTGAATATGATATTTCAAAACACACGAGAGCAGAACAGAGATATTACATTTGGCTTTTCCTGACCTGCTAAAAATAATAACAGAGCTACTGACAAATCCTAGATTTCACTTTTACTATTGTTGTAAATACTACAACTATTAGGAAAGCTAAGCAAGTAGCTTGAAATGCCTAACAGTCCTTGTAAAAACCATTAAACAGAAAACCACTTAAAGTAAAAACGTAACTTTGTGTAATAACTACAGGGAGAATTCTTTGCACGTAAGCTACCACTCACTATACACCACTCTTGAGGTGTTTTTCTACAGGTAAGGCCAGTGGGAGTCTGCTCTGAGACAGCCACAACTTCTTGATTCCAGTCTGCCCATTTTAGCCCTAATATAGCATGACCTGCACTTTCATGATAGCAGGCCAGGAGATATGTAACTTATTATAAAAGGATTCCCCCCTTCCCCCTCTATAAAACAAATAATATCCTTGGTCTTAAAAACAGCAAATCAAATAAATGCCTTGACACTTGACCTATTCAGAATACAAATGTCACCACATCTTGACATAGAAGAGAAAACTTACTAATAGATATGTTTCTTCTAGACTACAGTGAATGTAAAGATCCTTTGGTGTGGTCACTGATACATGTATCACAAACTATTTTTACAAAGAACAGAGAAATCAGAGAATATTCCCATCATGCGCTTAAGAAGACTATGGTGGCATAAGAAAAGGGATATAAGAACATTCGTCTGCAATACCATTCCTCTGCCCCTTGGATTGAGCTGATCCAGTCGTCATGGAACAAACATTGCTCTGGCTGAGGTGCAGTGTACTTCTCCACGTATTCTAGTTCCACAACCTCTTCCTATTCACAGAGAGAAACCAGGCATCAATCAGGTGGTGCAGTCTTACGAAGATAAAAGACCCCCAGTTTAATACATCTCCTTCATGTTTGTCCCCTTCATAACCCAGAAAATCTGGAGCCATACAAAAGGTGAAACTTTATTTGACCTAACAGTATGCTATGAGTAACATTAAGAAATATTAATGACCTTGGAAAACTTATGCTAAAAGTGGGGGAAAAAAGAATATAAGAAGCCCGGCCAACATGGCTTAATGGTTGAGCATCGACCTATGAATCAGGAGGTCATGGTTCAATTCCTGGTCAAGGCACATTCCTAGGTTGTGGGCTCAATCCCCAAGAGAGGGGGCGGGGCATGCAGGAGGCAGCCAATCCATGATTCTATTCTCTCTCATCATTGATGTTTCTATCTCTCTCTCCCTCTCCATTCCTCTCTCTGAAATCAATAAAAATATTTTTTTTAAAAAGGAATATAAGAAACTTTAAATTATAAAATCACAAAAGCATATTGTTAAATGGATACAGAGCTTCTACTTAGGATGAAGTAGTAGTCTTGGAAATGAATAGTGGTGATGGTTGCATAATATTGTGAATGTAGTTAATGGCCACTAGATTATAAACTTAAAAAATGGTTAAAATGATAAACTTTATGTGTATTTTACCACAGTTCTAAAAATTGCCCCCAAAATTATATTTTAAATGATAAAAGCAATATTAATAAAAGTTTGAAAATTAGAGGATAGAAAAATCATTTTAAATCACAATAGCCCTAAGCTATAAAAGTTGTTCTAGGTGCACAATCATTTTGTACACCTTTATGAGAACTAAATATATATTTGCTATTGCCTTTTATGACCATTCTTCCACAGATATGAAGGTATCTTTCCATATTCATTCATCTGTATTTCTTGAATAATATACTCTCAGAAGAGAGGATTTCAAACTTGAGTATATAAAAAACTGAAATTCAAATTTCTAGGAAAAAAATAATCAAAAGGATACCGGTTACCATAGATTCAGCCTGATTCTAAATGGAGTTCGCCTACATTATCTGGTAATAACTTGAGTAAAATAGAGCAAGTAAGCATTTGAACTTACCGATGAGATGTTTTCCAGTTCCATATGTTTGACCAAGGGCATTCGTAGAAACTGGCCCTTGATAAGGAAATCAAACTCCACATGTTTGTGGACCTCTAAAGAAAACACATAATAAAATCATCACTCTGAGGACCTGAAGTGGTATTGGCAGAGATGTATATGATAATAAAATCATCACTCTGAGGACCTGAAGTGGTATTGCAAAGATGTATATGAGACTCCACAACAAACAGGTACCTATTATCCCAGTGTGGCCTCTGAGTTTCTCCAGAATAAAGTGTTTAAATCTTCTATTTCATGTGTGATTTTACTTTTTAAAAACCATCTTATTATAGAAAAATTCAAATATATGCAACAATGGAGAATAAACTTTATAATAAATCTTCATATACCTATCATAAAACTCCAATGATCAATTTATGGCCAATCTTGTTTAATCAATATTGTTGCACACATTGTTTATATTAATTTTATGGGCTAATAACTTATATTCACACAGCATGTTTAATATTTGTATCTTTATAAATGGTTTGATACTCTTACATGTTTTTAAATGTTTTACCCATTCTTATGAATCTTAAATAGTTTAAAAAAAAATACCAGTATGAACACTGGCATTTGTTACTCCGTTTTGTAGAAGTATAGCAAGTGGGGCCCAAGCATCCAGATGTTTGCTCTCTGCCAACCCAGCTCAGCCATCTTCAGCACAGTCACCATGTCTTGATTACCTTTACATCACAACTATTACACTAAAATCTTTTTTTTACACTAAAATCTTTATTCCTAAATCTTAACCACCTTATCTCTTTAGTCCTAAAAATATTTTTTTCCTGGAAACTTTTATTTCAAAGCATTTTTTAAAGTATCAGCAGGGAACCCCATATATTATAATTTATAAATTTTACCATTATAAAATGTATGCAGTATTATAAAATAAGACCAAAATAAGGAAATAAAAGTGTGATGGAATTTACTGGAGTTAGTGGTAACTTCTCAGAACGTGTTACCTACCATTTTTAGCCTGCAGCAATTTGTTAATGATGTTACTAAGGTCAGCAACTTCAGAAGCTGCGGGGATTGAGAAGGGAACATCATCTACTGCGTATCTACGAAACAGAAACGAAACATCAAGATTATGTCCACAGATTATTTTAACAAATGTGCGTTCATTCATTCAACAAACATCCACTGGGTATCTACTACATGTCAGACATTTTGCTACATGGGGTTAACAAAATTAATTACCAGGTCAGCTCACAAAGCTACAAACACACCATAAGGCAGGATGTGATTAGGTTTCAACTGAATGCTACAGACCTGGGGGTTGTTGTTAAAAATGTTTATATATACACGTATGTATATATTTGTATAATATCCACAAATCTGTAACCGAATAACTTCCCAGTCTTGCCAACCCCCTCTTCAGAGCTCCACTTTCTAGCCTGGTTTAGGAAAACAGCGTCTACCACCTACTTAAAAAGAAAATGAAGCTGTGTTTTCAGAAACGGACACATCATGGGCAGACAGCCTGCAACGACTTGGTTCACGGCCCAATGACACAATGTGCCTCCTGCTGGAGGCAGCCCCGCAGCCCTCCGGCTCCTCCACGGTGATACCAGAGGTGGGTCCCGGAGGAACCCCCGAGAGGTACCGCTGCCGCTGGGGCGGAAAACACGGTCCAGCGAAGAGTCCAGCAAAAAAAGAAGCGGGGACGGGGGGGGGCGGTAAAAGTGAGTGCGGCAAAGGCAGAGACCCGCAGGGACCCCCGGAAGGGGCGAGGGGCGCAGCGTACTCACTTCTTGTTGTCAGTGAAGAAGCGGGTCTGGAGCTGGGCCATCGCGGGGGTGCACAGCAAACTGGCCCACAGAGACGCGGGGTAACGGTCCGACAACCCCCTCTTCCGAGCGCTGGTCCTTGGTTTTACAAAAAGAGGCGGCTCACAGTTACCCTGCACCAGGGCCGGGACCCGGCTTCCTCCACCACCACGCGGCGCCCGCCCCGCACCCAGGCCGCACACATCAACCACCGATTCCCGGATGAGGCGCCAGCGATTAGGGCGGTCGAGCCTTAAAGACACAGCGTCCCTTTCATCTCCAGGGAGTTCTTTTCATATATTTAGGCCTGAGATCGAGTGTGAAGACACAGGCCCACTTCAAATCTGCTTCTCTCTCGCCTACCCTTTTATTATATAACAGTGTGACTTTAGATCCGATATTTCAAACTCGGGTCCCAGATACTACAACCCCCAGAAAGCAGCGATCCTCAGACGCTGTGACCGCTGGGAATTGTAGTCTTTTTTTTTTTGCCACCCTGCCCTCGGGATATCTTACTTGCATAATGAGATTACTCAATATTTTTTTTTGGTCTGGAATGCTTCTTTTCCCTCATTTTTATTAAACCATCCCGACTCCAGCCAGCTATTTTTTATATTTCCTCTTTATTCCAGCTTTAATTTACTAAAGCCGTTCGTTCCGCGTTTATTTGACCACGCATACTCACAAGCAGAGTCACTCTGCCGAGAATACTCCTGGGCTCTCGCCTCTAGCTTCAGGTTTTAAATCCAGATGAGAGAAAGGAAATACAAAAAAAAGAAAAAGGAACGCAATCCGAGTGGGAACGGACGACGGTGGCCGATAGAGGTCTCCGCTCCGGCCCGCGCTGCGCGCT